TATATGAGTGGGATTGGGTGGTTATAGAATAGGAGCTGCCTCGAATGGGCCAATAGGCCTTCTGCAGTTACCTTTGTTCTTATGTTCTTAAGTGAATTTATATCCATTCTATAATATGGCGACCAAAAGTGAACTGCATAATCTAAATGGGGCATAACTAGAGCAAGATATAGATTGAGAACCACACCAGGTGTCTTGTTACTAACGCTGCGATTAATAAATCCAAGTGTCCGATTTGCCTTATTACGAACATTTATGCATTGATCCTTTTGTTTTAAATTCTTACTAATCATAACACCCAGATCCCTTTCGCAATTCGACTTCGCAATCTCAACACCATCTAGCTCGTATCTTGTAACCCTATCATCATTACCTAACCTCAGAACTTTACATTTATCAGCATTAAACTGCATCTGCCAGTCCTTCGACCATTTCAAAACCCTATCTAGATCAACTTGAAGTGATAGTGAGTCCTCCTCCGAATTAATTTCCCTACCGATTTTCGTATCATCGGCAAATGTTGCTACTCAAACCTGAATCTAAATCATTTATATATATTATAAACAACATAGGTCCCAGGACAGAACCCTGAGGTACTCCACTAACAACATTATCCCACTCTGACTTAACCCCATTTATACTAACTCTCTGTTTCCTACAGGTCTGTTCCATTCTATGCTAAATCTGATTACCTTGTGATCACTGTTCCCTAGCTCACTCCCTATTTCGATGTCATTAATTTGTGTTTCCCTGTTAGTTAACACTAATTCTAAAATATTATTTTCCCGCGTTGGTTCCTTAATGTGTTGCGTAAGAGCGCAATCGTCAATTAATTCTAGAAAATCTTCTGCTTCACTATTCCCTGTTTTGTTCAACCAGTTTATTCCACTAAAATTAAAGTCACCCATGACATAAATACTGTTAGATCTAGATGCTCTAGATATGTAAAGTTCTGAGGTTAGGTAATGATGATAGAGTTACAAGATACGAGCTAGATGGTGTTGTGATTGCGAAGTCGGATTGCGAAAGGGATCATAAGAACATAAGAACATAAGAACAAAGGTAACTGCAGAAGGCCTATTGGCCCATACGAGGCAGCTCCTATTCTATAACCACCCAATCCCACTCATATACTTGTCCAACCCGTGCTTGAAACAATCGAGGGACCCCACCTCCACAATGTTACGCGGCAATTGGTTCCACAAATCAACAACCCTGTTACTGAACCAGTATTTACCCAAGTCTTTCCTAAATCTAAACTTATCCAATTTATATCCATTGTTTCGTGTTCTGTCCTGTGTTGATACTTTTAATACCCTATTAATATCCCCCCGGTTATGTCCATTCATCCACTTGTAAACCTCTATCATGTCACCCCTAACTCTTCGCCTTTCCAGTGAATGCAACTTAAGCTTTGTTAATCTTTCTTCATATGAAAGATTTCTAATTTGGGGAATTAACTTAGTCATCCTACGCTGGACACGTTCAAGTGAATTTATATCCATTCTATAATATGGCGACCAAAACTGAACTGCATAATCTAAATGGGGCCTAACTAGAGCAAGATATAGCTTGAGAACCACACCAGGTGTCTTGTTACTAACGCTGCGATTAATAAATCCAAGTGTCCGATTTGCCTTATTACGAACATTTATGCATTGATCCTTTTGTTTTAAATTCTTACTAATCATAACTCCCAGATCCCTTTCGCAATCCGACTTCGCAATCACAACACCATCTAGCTCGTATCTTGTAACTCTATCATCATTACCTAACCTCAGAACTTTACATTTATCAGCATTAAACTGCATCTGCCAATCCTTTGACCATTTCAAAACCCTTGAAATGGGATCTGGGAGTTATGATTAGTAAGAATTTAAAACAAAAGGATCAATGCATAAATGTTCGTAATAAGGCAAATCGGACACTTGGATTTATTAATCGCAGCGTTAGTAACAAGACACCTGGTGTGGTTCTCAAGCTATATCTTGCTCTAGTTAGGCCCCATTTAGATTATGCAGTTCAGTTTTGGTCGCCATATTATAGAATGGATATAAATTCACTTGAACGTGTCCAGCGTAGGATGACTAAGTTAATTCCCCAAATTAGAAATCTTTCATATGAAGAAAGATTAACAAAGCTTAAGTTGCATTCACTGGAAAGGCGAAGAGTTAGGGGTGACATGATAGAGGTTTACAAGTGGATGAATGGACATAACCGGGGGGATATCAATAGGGTATTAAAAGTATCAACACAGGACAGAACACGAAACAATGGATATAAATTGGATAAGTTTAGATTTAGGAAAGACTTGGGTAAATACTGGTTCAGTAACAGGGTTGTTGATTTGTGGAACCAATTGCCGCGTAACATTGTGGAGGTGGGGTCCCTCGATTGTTTCAAGCACGGGTTGGACAAGTATATGAGTGGGATTGGGTGGTTATAGAATAGGAGCTGCCTCGTATGGGCCAATAGGCCTTCTGCAGTTACCTTTGTTCTTATGTTCTTATGTTCTTAGATGCTTTGCTTCCATTCTGTCTAAATTTGGTGGCCTATATATAACTCCTATTATAATATTATTAGCTTTTTCGTTTAATTCTATCCAAATAGTTTCTGTGTGTGGCTCAGTTTTGATTCCCTCTTTGAGACTACATTTCAAATTGTCCCTAACATATATGGCTACTCCACCTCCTCGTCTAATATATCTATCTGTGTGAAATAGTTTAAATCCATTAATTTGATATTCAACTAATAGTTCTCTATTTTCTACATTCATCCATGTTTCGGTAAGTGCAATAATATCTATTTTTTCTGTGCAGACAAGAGCATTTAATTCGTTAATTTTATTTCTTAGACTTCTACGGTTAGTGTAATATACCCTAAGTGAATTGTTATTTTGAGGCCCTTCTCTTTCCCTGATCATTTTGCCAATTCCTTTCTCCCACAAACACATACTTTTATTACCTCCTTCCTCCAAATCAATTCCCATACCTCTATCTACTAACAGTTTAAACCCAAACAAACACCTCTAACCACTTCTTCCAACGAGTTCGCAACAGCAACAACCCCAGCCCTCGATAGATGCACCCCATCACGAGCATACATTTCATTTCTTCCATAGAAGTGTTCCCAGTTGTCTATGAAAGATATTGCATTTGATTTGCAATATCTTTCCAGCCGGCAATTGACACCAAGTGCCCTCGACATCCATTCATTTCCCACTCCTTTTCTTGGAAGAATGCCACATATGAGTGGGATTGGGTGGTTATAGATAGGAGCTGCCTCGTATGGGCCAATAGGCCTTCTGCAGTTACCTTTGTTCTTATGTTGTCATTATCCGACTATCATTATAAATATTGTCATTGTCATTAGGAAAGACTTGGGTAAATACTGGTTCAGTAACAGGGTTGTTGATTTGTGGAACCAATTGCCGCGTAACGTGGTGGAGATGGGGTCCCTCGATTGTTTCAAGCGTGGGTTGGACATGTATATGAGTGGGATTGGGTGGTTATAGATAGGAGCTGCCTTGTATGGGCCAATAGGCCTTCTGCAGTTACCTTTGTTCTTATGTTCATATTAAGTATCTTTGTGGTACGAGAGGCACCCAAGGATTATCCTCAAGGCTTCGTTCTGCAATTTTTCAAGCCCTCCAGGCTTTCTTTCAGGCATCAAAACAAGCAGAGGTGCAGCATAATCCACTAAAGATCTGATGTATGCAAGGTACATCATTTTGACAATTCTGACATTGGCCCCATAGCCTGAGTGATAACCTGCAACAGCCTTGAGAGCTCGGAGCCTCTCTATATACTGACGACAGAGTCTGAATACAACAGGACCATACAGTGGCACCTCAAGGCCAAGGTATTTGAATCTGTTTACGTAGTCAAACTGGGAGCCATCAGACAGTTGCATCTTGCGAACAGCTCCTCCCTGCCTGGGTGGGCGCCGATTTAGTATCTTTGTTTTCTCCTGAGATAACTAAACCTAGGTCCTGACATGAGTCTAATACAGAGTTAAGAGTGTTCTGCGTGTTAGCATACCCAGTGGTGTGTATCATTATATCATAAGCATAGCTAATGATGTGGACGCTCGGTACAGAGTTTAACAGCGTGTTTATTAAGATATTAAATAAGGTAGAACTGAGGACACCTCCCTGCGGGATACCTAGTTCAAAGTCTCTTGTTACACTCCTATGCCCCTGGAAAAATACAGATGATTTCCTGTTGGATAAGTAACTCCTGATCCAAGAAAGAAGCCGACCACCAATATTCATTCTTGCAAGCTCACTCAAGATAACATGTCTATTTACAATATCAAAGGCAGACTTGAGATCTAGGAAGGTGGTATATGACTTTTCAGTGTGCAGGGTAAGAAAGGTGGTGATGCAATGATGCACACTCCTTCCATGCATGATGGAGTGCATCCGAACACCGGCCGCTCCATAATACTGAACAGTTCGGTCACCGTAACTTTCTTTTCGGTTATGTCCGGCAGGTTGATGCTTCCTTATATTACATGACATGAGCCTAGCAATTTGAAAAGGGTATTATAGTTGCTTAATAAGATTAAATAATATGTAGCTTGGGTAGAAAATAGTCCATAACAGCGCGAAATTTATTTTAATTTGCGAAAGAAAATGAATTTCTTTACCAAAATAGGATGGCAGTGTACTAATTATTAGGATAAATGTACTTGATCATAAAATTATTGAATACTGGTCGTTGTGATGAAATATATATAACAAAATATTAAAGTTTGAAAATATTGTAAAAAGAAATAGAGATAGGAATATGGGCTAAGAGTATAATAGTGAGAGAGAGAGATAGTTGTGGTTAAGAACCAAGAGGCAGGCGGCGGACGGGCCGACCAGGGCGCCCTCTTCACACACCGACCCGGCCAGGGTGAGTCCCACTCTCTCTATCTCTCCACCTTATACCCGTCCTCCACCCTCTCCAGCGGCTTGTGTTCTGCTGGTCATGGCCCGCACTTTCACCTGTAAATGTAGTGGACTTGTAGTAGGAAAATGTTGTGTTATTGAGACTGGTGATGGCGCCATGTGGTGGAAGACTTGAGCTTGTCAGCGGCACCTTGAGGCCAAGTCTCTGGGCCAAGATGCGTGTCTTCGTAGCCTGTCTTAAGGTAATGATTACTGTGTCTAAGGTTGGTTAGGTATTGAAGTAACATTGTGTGTCTCTCTCGTTTCGTGTTCACATGGATAATATTGGTGGGTGCGACTTAAGAGTGGGAGCCCAGAAGGCTGTGAGCGGCTCTGTGCACTCTGGTGCCTCGTAATGTTAACATGGGGCTCGTAAACCTGTGGTAATCCCCCCCTCCCTACGTGTAGACTCCGACCTCTCGTAATAACATCTGGCTAATAATATTAACATGGCTGGAACCAGTAAACCCGTGGTAAAGGCCTCCCTCGTACTTCAGGTTTACACTCCCGGGCAGGACGGGGCGTTGAGGCAAGTAGTTAGGCCCAGGCTAGCTGGTTGCTCGTTCAATACAATGGGGGAACAAAACTGTAGCAGATTATATAACCCTCCAATCCTAATCTTAGCTTTCCAACTGTATAAAACAACTTGAGCAACAAGACTATAACTCAATCATATATACAAATGATTCCAGATTATATCTGAATTTGGTTTTTGCTTTCACCATTTTTTTTTAAATTCTTTTATGCTATTTTAATGTTAGCAATTACTGGAAAATTAAAAAGTATTAACATTTCTAATTACTAGACAAATTAATGCCCAGTTAATCCTCCTTGTCCGTGGCTGGACTGTATACGAAACTGGTCAGGAGGCAAGTGTGCTACCACCAGGCCACCAAAGGTTTCTATAAGTTCTTGTTAAAAGCAGTTTTAATGGTTAACTTTATAGGTTGAAATCTCTATTGAACCAAGACAATTAGGAAAAGTCAAACTGCCTTATTTATTAAACATGGAAAATTTGCTAAATGTTTTATCTGATAAGATAGTATGGTTGATTCTTGGAATAAGAGGCAGGGTGAGAGGATTATAGATGGTTACCATTCGGTCAGTCAGTCCTTAAACATGTCATAGTATTGAAAGTATAAAGACCGTTTATCATTGTCAACTTATTCATGGGGTGCGTATCATTTATAAGTAAAATATTAACTATACGATTTTCACATCACTGTAAACTTTTCTTTTGTACAGTACCTGTATCACTGGAAAGACATCCCCTAAATATTGTACAATATAAATACTGTTTCCTAGTAATAATGAATTTCCTTATTTTAATTTGTGAAGACTTGTCTTCATGTACAGTATTTAAATTTAATCTGTCGAATGGAAATGGCTTTTATCCAAATACAGTATAAACTTTGATTTTCCCATAAAAAATGCTGCACTGCAAATCCTTTTTTAATTATATAATTTTGTAGTGTTCTTACCAGTGACTTGTATATAATCTGATTTTCATATAAAGAAATACCCATATAATTATCCTTGGCCTTTTAAAATTATGTAAGTAAAGAACAAATACTTTATAACATTTGCCGACTATAATAGAGCTGAATATAGAATGTGAAGTTACTTTCTCTGAAACGTAACTAAAGATCAAAGCTGGTGGTGGGAGATGTTATGAAAAGTCGAAGATTTTGTTGCTTCAAACTTTCGTGGCCATCACCCACTGACTTATTATGTTTCAGAGTAAAAAAAATTTTCAACTTTCTACATGAAATTATTAAAATTCATTTTCATTGACAGAAAAGTTAACACTTGCGCCCCAGGCCTGTGCTCTGCGCATATGCATGAACTACTACTGGCTGTGCGTGCGACTGCTCGGCGACACTGTATAATATTTTGTTTTCTCACCCTAGTTCTCGTGCTACGTTGTTCGTTTTGGTATCATTGTGTTCGCAACAGAATTCCCTACAGGTGTATATGCATATATGGTCCAAAAGCCAAGCATGGCTCCCCACAACAAAGCCGAAAGTCTGCAAAAGTTACCTGTGAGCGCACAAAATCAGTGAAATGTGTGTACTGTACTCGTTTCAGTTTTCTTACTGTAATTCTCGTGTTAGTGGCTCATTTTGGTAGCATTGTGTTTGCAATTAAATTCCCTACAGGTGTTGTATATGCATATATTGTCCAAAAACCCAGCATGACTCCCTTTAGCAAAGCCTAAACTTACTCGTGAACAAGCACCAATATGCACATCGCAGCCAAACGTGTATACTCGTTCATTTTGATAACATCAATTTTTGTCTTTCATTTTGATATCAAATTGTTCGTAATAAAAAGGCGCGTATTTTATAACTAGTCTGATAATAATAGAGCAATAAATGGAATTTTAACAAATATTTTAATTTTGGCCGCTCATCAAAATTATTTCTATCCAGCGATCTGATAAATTTTTGTTACATCTTTCATTTTGGTATCAAATTGTTTGCAATCTAAAGGCATGCATTTTAAAACTAGTCTTATAATAATAGCATAATAGAACTTTAACATTTTAAAATCTTGACCAAAAAGTACTTGTAATCTTTCAAGTGTTCTGACATAGTTTCGTGTTGCATCTTTCATTTTGGTATCAAATTGTGCACACTCTAAAAGGCACTCATTTTGAAAATTAGTCCGAAGTCGATCGGATAATAAATTAATTTTATTAAAAATATTTTTATCGGACGCACATCATGTCTGATGCTCGGACTTGAGAGAAATCGAATGCAGGTTGCGTTCGAAGAGTGATAAAGCGTTAAATACAGATAAAATTTAAATACAGTACATGAATCTGCAGTTGTTACAAATAAAAATGAGGTTCATTATTAATCACTAGGGAACAGTATTTGTATTGTACAATATTTAGGGTTTGTCTTTTCGGTAATACTAAAGAAATGTTTACATAATGTGAGTCATTGTAGTTAATATTTTACTTTTAACTGATATACACCCCATAAGTGAGTTTTGTGACTTAATGATAAACCGTCTCTATATTTTCAAACCCTTGATGACATTTTTAAGGAGTGGCTGGCTGAATAGTAACCACCTATAATCCTGCCTCTTATTTCAGTAATCAACCATACTATCTTATCAGATAAAACATTTAACAGCAAATTTCTGTTTAATAAGCGAGGCAGTTTAACTGTTTTCCTAATTTTCTTGATTCAATAGATATTTTGCCTATGGAAAGAAACTATTCATAAATGTTTTAGTTTTGTAAAAAGTTTTATACATTGCAGTTGAGTTTACACAAATTTGTAGTATATTTTCCAGTTATAATATTTCCAGTATTTGTAAACTATGTACAGTACTCGGGAATTGGATTTAGAAGCTGCATTTATCAAGGATTTTAAAGTCGGTTGTCAAATTCAGAATAAGAAACATACTGTAGTAAGTTAATGTTATTTCTTGTGTAATTCTAAGACTCTTTGGATAATTTTATGGACTGCTTTCTAGTGGCAATAGAAATACCAAAAACCACAATTTGAGGGGGGAGCTAAGAGTGTCTGCGTAACGTAAATTAAAAAATATAGTATAAAGTAACGAATGTCTAACAAATGGTCTTGAGGGATCTTGCATACAGTAGTCATTGTTTAAAATGTACCTTTATGCATGTGAAAAATGATACTGTGCTGTGAGAATGTAAAAATATCCAGAAAGTTACTGCATGTACTTAAGTGGTTAAAATGAGATCCTTTTAAAGTCGAGAAAAAATGAGCAATGATGTCCGTGGTGCTTTGTCGTGATTTCAGTGCATGTAGTTTCCTTGCAAAGAATAAAAAGTTTGAACTTGTCAAAGGAAAGTTGAAAGGTCGTGTGTTCACATTTTAGACTAGTTTTTTTTAGACAATTTCAAAGTAAAATAGATTGACACGTCTTAATTATTGTTCTGATAAAAAAACAATGGTTATTGTTTTAATCAAAAAGTTAAATTAATAAAAACAGTATTAGACAAGTTTAACATGGAACACTCTTGGAATAGTATATTATCTTCGAGTTGATTTCAGAGCTAGCATCCTCGACCAGACCTCATAACTATGTGCAGAGTACAGTAAATAGTAAAGGGGCAAGATGCCATGAGGACAGAACACTGAACATAAGGGTCTTGCCAGTGTTTCAACCACCTTCCACCAAATATAAAATGTTTATGGAATGAAAAGAAATAGGTTGTTGTTCTGTGGTTACAGAAAGTTTCAGTGCAAGTGGGTATCTAGAATAAATGGGCTTAGTATGTACAGAAAATCATAATTGACAAAATCTTTGTTAAATTTGGCCCCCAGGCCTTGTACAGGTTTAGGTCGGTGCATGATGAAAGTTCATAGAATTTGTTTAAAAGTAGATGAGTACTGTATATGGAAGTAAATAGTTAAATGGGCAATATAAATTAAATACTGTATTTTTTAAAATTATTTTAAAATGCAAATAGAGTAAAAAGTTTAATGAAAATTTCTGAACATTTGCATCATTCTCGGTAGAATGAAAACAAAAATATTTTCTTCATGCATGCTAGTGACAAACACCACCTCAGGGCCTAGTTGCCAAACTTGTTTTATAATATTGTCCCTTGCATAACTTTCTTTAAACTGTGAACCCCTTTTTTTCAATACTATGTACCCATTTCTTACACAATGTGCAGCGTAAGTTTTGCCACAAGCAAAATCCATAAAACTCGCTCATTTGTGACTAGCATATTAACATTGCAAATATAACAATACGAGTTTAGAGTTGTTTGATGCTGATAAAAATTTATTTGCTTCAACTTTCCTAAAAATTTGCCCACATGGACACTTTTAGAGCAACAATTACTTCCTTTCACGAAGGAAAGAATTAAATTTTTTAAATTTAATGTACTGTAGTTGACTTGTTTGCTTAGTACAGGTATTACAAACTACTGCAGGGCTTTTCAATGAAACTAATCTATGCCAGGTGCTATTTGATATTCAGTACAGGTAGTTCACAACTTATGATGTTTACAAATGCATCCCATATATAACTAAACAATATTTTGTCTAGATGCAGTGCTGTAAATTGATACATTTCTGGATCCCTAAAAAATCGATAAAAAGCAATTTTTTAATTTTTTTCTAGCAGGAGGCTTATATGGGTGCTTGTGCCCCACCACAGCTATTGTTTGGGAACTTTCTCAACAACTTGAAATAATGCATTAGTGGCATGTTTGTAATGGTGGTGGTGGTGGGGGGGATATAATGGAACCTTAAAGGTAGTTCTATTGGATGTTTGCAAGTTACTGTACTTTTTTTTTGGGGGGGGGTGATACTTTGCAATAAGGTTAATTGAATTACAGACTTAAATGATGAAATTCATGCACCACTCAGATGTTCATGTTGATTAATAAAATCCTTTACTGATTTTTGATTGGCACTTAAAACAAATTGAGTTTGAAATTTCCATTCTAAAACATTTGTTTTCCCCATAGGTTCCACCTGCATCAAGATGGGTGCATATAAATATATGCAAGAGATATACAGGAAGAAGCAGAGCGATGTCATGCGCTTCTTGCTTCGTATACGTGCATGGCAATATCGGCACTTGAACAAACTGCACCGTGCTCCTAGACCAACTCGTCCAGAGAAAGCCCGTCGCTTGGGATACAAGGCCAAGCAAGGTAATTTTGATTTTTGTAATACTGAATTTAGCGTTTTTCAATTTAATGTAATTATGATGAATGTATGCACCACGCAGAGTGATTAGGTTGAGAAAACAATACCCTTTTTTCTGAATTTTTAAAGGCATAAGGGTTTTTGGTTTTGTTTGATTTAATCTAATGCACTCTGTTTTTTTTTGTAGGTTTTGTGATCTACCGCATTCGTATTCGGAGGGGTGGTCGTAAGCGCCCAGTGCCCAAAGGTGCCACATATGGTAAGCCAAAGAGCCATGGTGTGAATCAGCTGAAACCAACCCGCAACTTGCAGTCACTGGCCGAGGTAAGCATTTTTGCCGTTGGAAATGTTTTGTTGGTTATGCCAAAACTAGTGCCTTGTGAAATCTATAATTTTTCTACAGTGCCGTTGGAATAAGAACAGTTTTTTAAATTCTTTGTTGTAATTTTTTGCTTTCCAAGGTTACTCAGAATTTGCATTCAAAGTAATATGCATTATAAATTAATTTTGATTTTATCTGCCACAATTATGTAATGTACTGTATAATTGTAGTCTGTAGAAAGATCAATATTCCAATAGGGCATGTGGTCCCAGTTCCCATATTAGACCCTAAAATTGTCCCTACTGGAAATTTTCTTTGTTGAGAATCTTTGATTTAAACAGTTTGATTGAATTAATTAATGAATGGCAAAATATGAACTCACGATGCCACTCCTCCAGGAGCGCACTGGTCGGAGGCTTGGTGGACTTCGTGTGCTAAACAGCTACTGGGTTGCTCAAGACTCTACATACAAGTACTTTGAAGTGATTTTGGTTGACATTCGCCATAATGTTATTCGAAAGAGTGGTTCACTCAACTGGATATGCAAGCATACACAGAAGCACCGCGAGATGCGTGGCAAGACATCAGCAGGCCGCAAACATCGTGGTTTAGGACGTGGCTTCCACTACTCCCAGACAAAGGGAGGATCACGTCGCTCTTGCTGGTTGAGGCACAATACTTTATCTCTCCGCAGAAAGCGCTAAACACTGTGGTCATCTTTTGTCATGAGTATAAATAAAAAAAATTTGCAAAATTGTATTTTTCTTAAATTAGGTAGATTCCATTCGTTCTTATTCCCAAATCATCATTTTTCTCCCTTTCTATAAATACTCTTCCTGATGAAAATTTGAACAAAAGGTAGCAAGCTGAACAGTTGACAATAATAAGGCTTTTCTGCACACTAAGCATTGATAAAAATATTCCTTGCTATCCTTAGACACTTGGTATTCCAGGCATGGTATTACTGTATATGTCAAAGGCATTGGTATAATTTTAGAAATTGGCACTCTGACTGCCTGTTATCCATGGCCTTCCTTGTACCCCCATAACTTTGCAGTTTGTAACACCAGACCACCGATTATGCTAACAATCCACAAAACTAAGCCATTAGACTACTTCTCCAGCAGCAATAGTGGTTCATAAGTACAATAATTGTCAAAAGGAAGCATGTATAACAATTTTGCTGGATGCCAGCATAAGTAATTATCAAAAGAAGGTGCAAAAGTCAAGAGACTAGCACCACCAAAAGTGATATCAAAGGCATTGATTTACAAAGGGTAAATACTGGTTTGGTAATAGGGTTGTTAATTTGTGGAACCAATTGCCATGTAACGTGGTGGTGGTGGGGTCCCTCGATTGTTTAAAGTGCGGGTTGGACATGTATATGAGTGGGATTGGGTGGTTATAGATAGGAGCTGCCTCGTATGGGCCAATAGGCCTTCTGCAGTTACCTTTGTTCTTACGTTCTTGGAGGGACAGCAGAAAAGTAATGTCTTAAGATATACTCAAACATGATGGGTAGGTGCTTTAAATTTTAAATTCCTCTGGAGAAGACCAAATATCCTATTTAGTTTCTTGGACTGTTTAAAAAACTAAACTTTTTGGAAGTTCAGTTTGAACATGCAAACACTTACTCCTGCTCAACACACACTACCTTTGAGTGCCTATTTTGTCAAGCTCAACTATGGAACCTGTACAAAGAGCTTACTAGGTGCCCCTCCCCCCATCATACATATATATATGCAGTATATACACTTGGTGTGAAGTCTGCCTCCTCTTTATGATGGACTCAATTTGTACACTTTCAGATGTCTGACTCGTTTGGGGACATACCATATGTCCTTGTTTATATACACACATTTCAAATTGTCCATGTCTGCTATTTGACCAGTAATTTTTTAAGCAGATTGTCTAAAGTCGTCTGTACACACACGTACTGTACTGCAAAAATAAACAGAGACCACAGATTGATACTCCATGGGACATTAATCATTGCAATTACCGGTTTATTTTTTCTTGTCTACGTTTGTGCTTTGTTACATTATTTCAGTTACTGTAGTGATAAGTTTGTTCAGCTGAATTACTTTTTTTCCTAGTACTTTATTTGGTTTGTGTTTTCTAACAGCAGCAGCTACCTGCCAAGTAGCTTTCAATGTAAATACATATGTCCATGCACTTGGTTGCTTGTTTTGCTGTACTTAAACCCAAAACAAGATATTGTATCTTAAATACCCAAGCATCCTTTACCTTAAAAGGGAGGAGCAGATTTTAGCTGTAGCATTTGTTATGGTTTGGGGAGCTACCGAAGACTCGCTCAGAAAGAACAAATTTATACATATGTTTTTGCTATTAAACTTATTGTTTGTATTTAGTATTTTTCTCAGTAAAACATAAAATCCACAAAGTATAAATGCTTTACTTTCTTGTACTGTGGAGGTTGCAGTGTCGACTTCCCCTCTCGTAAACTGGCTGTCTTCTACTTCACCTTGTCCTCCATACATATTGGGTCTACGTCAAACATGATTTCTTCATTATCAATTTTGCCTATTTTATTTGGTTACTAGTATTCCTGCTGTAAGGAGACAGAAACAATGGTACCAAGTCAGGATAACTTTAGTATTGTTGAGGGATATTCAAAAAGACTAATGAAACGAGTACAGTATATTTCAGTCCGTTTCGAGACGTTTCTTTAGAAGAGATGCTCCTCTGGCTATTATGCAGAAGAGTGCCATTTGTGTGTTTTCAAGATAATACAAGTATACATATTTAATACCACAGCCCTTGATAGCTACAAATGGTGCATATAACCTAAAAATGATACATGAAAGATCACAACAGTATGTAGTTTAGTGAGTGAGTATATTGTACCTAATAGCCAGAACCACACCACTTGCAATGTAAGCATATTTTCCAATATTTCTTTAAAATAAAAGTTTATCCCTAATAATAATACAAACATACAGGCAGTTCCCAACTTACGAATATGATGCATGCATAACAAGTGTTCGTAATAACCAAATCTCCCAAGAATGCAATGATATATACAGGTGCTGTGTTCCTTGACCAATAGAAATTAATATTAAACCCAACTTTTGTGTACAAATAATGTAGTAAACTGCTGTTTATTTACCTAGAATTATGGAATTATGTGACTTGATGCTGCTTTCACGAGCAGAGGTATAAATACTGGAGGAGGCAGTGGTGATGCAAGGGCACTGGTGAACCACCAACAATTCATCGTACCGGCCATTATTGAGGCAATTTTCCTCCCTAAACCAATGAAATAGTGCATTGCAAGTACTGTACTGTACTGTAGTGTACATCATGTGTGGACTTCAGAATTGGGTTGCACAGTAGGACATCGAGCTAAAATAGGGATTTGTAGGCCATTTTGTAAGTGGATTTTATAATTGTACCCAATTCCCAGCACCACTACTTTGGTTAGTAAGCAAGACATTTTGCTTAAGAGTCGGAGCAAGTTTGCATATTTTCAGTTTTTATTATATTAATTCATCTCTAATTATATTGATAATTTGAATTTCTAACTGTTCTAGTTTTACCTACGTTAGGCACTACCCAGAAATAATTATAATTTAAATCTGACCATGTTTCTTAGACTGATTAAAAAAAAATCTATCACTTACATCATAATGAAAAACTATCATTATAACAGACAAATTAATATTTAAGATAATTTGACCTGTTAGGCAACTCTGGCTATTGGGCACGAAATACATTTCATACACACAGTATTATACGATATATATGGCCAAAATTAACCATTCCAATAGATTTTAAATGGAAAAGTATAACACCAGGTGTTAGTATATCATAAACAGTTTTCACAACACAAGAGCATGCAGACCCTCACTGGTACAGTGCTACCTCCACTTTTGAATTTACCCAGAGATGGGTCGTAACTTGAAAATTCATAACTCAAAACTAATTTTCCCATAAGAAATACTAATGTAAATTAAAATTAATCCATTTCACACCCCTAAAAAATTAACTTAAAAAATACATTTTATACTGAATACTACCCTTTTTTTTGTACTATCTACAATATAGTACAGTATGTATATCTTACCTTTGTTGAAAACTTGTTGGCATATGGAAGATGGTTACTGTTTGGAAGGGAAGTCCCTTCCCAAAAAATGTGTGTAAGTAGGGGCATTCGTAAGTCGAAGTTCCACTATATTAGTTTTCAGCTCACTATGGGTAAAAGTTTCCCAACCTGTAAACAATCTGGCTGCACCAAAATGCTCTTTATCCTATCCATGAGGCAAAATACACAACTGGCAATATAACTATAAATGAAGGATTTTTTTAATTACTGATTGTGTATCCTAGAATAATCAAACTTTATTCGATTGCTATTCAACCTTTACTACATGAATACATAATCAATGCTATTACTGCAAAGGATTTCAGATGGTGTACCGAATAAAACTGATATTCCATTACGTTCTAAGAACTAATTTAGTGATGAATTTTCTTCTGAGACAGAAGAGTTGAGTGTTATTCTGTACTGCATCCTTGAGCATCTGACTTGTCATCTAGCCAGTGCAGATGAGGACATTACAAAATAATTAGCAATACATTTAAAATTTATCAGCAGCATTCTGTAGAAATCATCATCCCTCTTGAAAACTTGAGCCTTTTTAATACATGCCATTCAAACATAGCAAGCCAAGAAGAATGTGATGTGAATTATCAACATTTCTAATGAATATACAATATGTGCTCTAATGTTTGAGTTCCCAAAGTTAAACCTGTTGAAAGTAGTAAAATTTCTGCCCTCATTATTGGAACCAATGACTTATATCTCCATAAACTCAAAACTTAAAATACTAATTTACCCCACACTTTCAGCAATTATTGTCTCATAAACTAGGAGAAACAAAAAATTGCTGTCTGGATTTTATAGTACATACAGTACCAGTAATGTTGGTGAGGAGACCCCCCTCCTGGTGGCCTGGATTCGAATCCTCCAGGAAATCATATACTGTACTGTACAAAGACACACAAAGGTAGGCACCCATTCTTCCTAAAGAACTTGACAGTACTGGTCCTTGCCTCATAATGGACCAACAGTCTCAGTGACAGTCCCTTCAAAAGAAAGGGGCTATGGTAAAAACAACTTGGTTCTCAGTCCTTGCATTACATACATGGAAATACAGTAAGTGAAATATTTAATTAAAATTATACAAAAAAATAGAAGACACCGAGTCATTAATAATTAATTTGGGTAGATTAAAGGATTAAATTCAAAATAATACATAAAGAAACTAGGAAAACTATAATAAAATTTCCCTTCAAGAAAAGTAGCATTTCAATATGGCCATCATGGAACCCTGATCTCTTTAGAGATCTTGAAGATGTCATTCCTCAAAGAAAAGTCTTTCTCTACGGCAGCACTGGAAGGAAAAGGCATCTTAAACTTTATGAACACGTTCTTCAATGCCAGTTGGGAAAAAAGCCCCTGTTGATGATAGCCTAAATCTTAGAACATCAGCTAACATTTTTATGCAAATGCAAATTAAATTAGTAAATAAATGACTTTTAAAATAACTATTGGGTGCCATAATTTATTCCTATATCAAATTGTAAACACTTTTTTTTTATTTGTAAATAACCCACCTTAATTAGCAGTCCTTTTCTAGTTCAAAATTAATAAAATGACTGACGAATGTTGGACCATCTAGAATTGCTTAAAAATTGACTGATGTCCCACTTTGGTCCTGGCCCAAACCG